AACTCAAAGAACCAAAATAGTACAAACATGAATTTTTAAGGGCTAAAGTCGAAGAAACACAAGTTAAGGACCAAACTGAAATTACACAGAAACATGAAGGATTAAAAATATTTGAACCAAATGCCAAAATAGTGACTAAAAACAAAAGATGCACCAATCTGAGGGCCAAATTCGAACATCAGCCAAAATCACACAACACATGTAATAAGTGACTAAAATAAAATTATTATAAATATCATAGCCTAAATTAAAACTAATGAAATTAAAATAAATAACCAAATATGGACTGAAATGAAACAAATCTAAACTCTAAGGCGTAAAATCAAATAATTACACAAACCATGCAAATGAGGACTAAAACAATTTCACAGAAATACGGAGGATCAAAAAGTAATTAAACAAAATGTCGGACAGTGACCAAAATGGAACATTTGCAAATATGATGGCTGAATTCAAACACCCACAAAATATCATAACACAAGAAATTAGGACTAAAATGAAACTATTACAAACATTGCGGCCAGAGTTCAACATTAACAAATAATAATATAACACATAGTAACAGGACTAAAATAGAAATACAGAAACATAAGTGCTCAAAATATAATAAAGCAAACTTTCAGTATATGATTGAAATAAATAAATTACAACTGCGAGGGACCTAAGGTGCTATTTACCCTTTACACTTGAAAACACGAAAGCCCTGACCCCTCTAAACGGCGTCGTTCGGCGTGTGGGTTATTACCCACTTAAGGGTTGAGAAACCCTATTCCCTCATTTGTTTCCTGAGCCCCCAAAAAAAAGAAAGGAGAGAGTTCTGAACTCTCTCCCCGAACCCACCAAACAACCGCCGCTCCACGGCGTTTCCAGCGGCGGTCGGCTCTTAAAACAAACACCCACAAACCCTAATTTCCTCTCTTCCTTCTTTCTCTTTTGAAAACCTAAAGCTCTTCCCCTTCCCACAACCAACTTGAACCCGAACCCCCCCCCCAAAGGTGGGAATTTACCTTCGAAGATGGAGCCCAGTTCCTCCGATGAAGCAACAGTGACCCGTTCTTGGTAAGTTTTGGCTCTCCCTCTTTTCTATTTCTTTTTCTTTTTCCACCCCGAATGTCCCTCTGTATTCTTTTTTTTATTTATTACCCCCAAATGCTTCTCTGTCTATTTGTTCTCTTCACCAAATCCCCCTTTTTTTCTGGAAATCTTCGAATGAATCCCCCCCTCTGTCTGGTTGCATGCTTGATTTATTAGGGGTTTTGAATGAAATCATGAAGCCTACGGGGTATAGGAATTGTTTCTCTGATTTGGTACGATTGAATCCCGAAAAAATCGGGATTTAGAATGATATTTTAATGGGTTCACTGTTGATGGCATTTTCGGATTGATTTGGGTATTTTAAATTCAGGGTTTTGATTTGGAACTGATGGGGTTACTGTGGTTTACTGTAGATGACGGTAGGGCGACGGCGGGATGTCTGACGGTAGCTTGGGAGTCAACGGCGCGGCTCACGCTTCTCTGGGAAGCTGGAACATCGAAGGCGCGGCGGCGGATGATGATATGTTTAGGGTTTAAAACCCTAATTGCTTGGGTACTTGTGGGCCATTGATTTTCACCAGATCCAACGGTTGGAAATGTGGCGGCTGGAGCAGAGAAGGAGAAACCCTAGAGTTAGGGTTAGTTGCTGGGCCATCCAAGTGGGCTTCTGGTCATTGGATTGGCTGGGGTGATTGGATCTGCTTGAGCTGATTGGGCTCTGGGTCTTTGTACTGGGCCTGGAAACAGAATGTAATATGTAAATAAAATAATAATAATAATGCTAATAATAATAATTAAAATAGCGATAATAATAATATATAAAAAAGACCCGGACAAAAACGGGTGTCTACACCATAATAGATAAACTAAGTAATAAATACATTTAAAGAATTGAAAGTTGGTGAAAACAAACCTTAAAACAAAAGACTCCGATACACGCATATATATATATATATAGAGAGAGAGAGAAAAGTCTTAATACCAAATAAGTGTCCGGACTATATACTCTTTTTCCTGAGTAGGCGCCTATAATAATTTTTCGTATCATTTAGGTGATTAATGTTATAAACGTTATCACTTTAAGTGTCCGAATATTCAACGACGTTAATTTTTAAAAAAATATATAATTTTTTCTTATTTTATATAAAAATTTTAAAATTATCGAATTGTGACACGTGTCACTTAAAGGAGAAAACTAACAGTCTGTCATGGTTTGTCTCAGTTTGAGTGACAGAATGAAACGTTAGGCGCCAAACTAAAACGAAATAAACATTATACACTAAACTGAAAAAAGAGGAATGACACCTTTTGTATATTTAAACCTTTAGTAAAATGGGTTAATTTCTAGGCTTAATACTCAAATAAGTGCCCAAACTATACCTTTTTTCTCGAATAGGTGCCTACATTATTTTTTGACCATCCTGGTGCCTAACGTTACAAACGTTACCACTCTAGGTGTCCGAAACTGTCAACGGAGTTAATTTCCACTATTAAGTGACATGTTACAATATGATAATTTAAATTTTTATATAAAATAAAAAAAATTTTTAAAAGAAAACACATAAAATTTGAAATAACCCCAAAATATTGAAGACATAAATTTTGAAATAACCCCAAAACATTGAAGACATTCGTTTCAACCCTTAAACCTACGCTGACCACTACCCTTTGTCATCGTCGAAGCTCAACTCGACCTCACCTCCCTCATAGACCAAAATCCCTATGAAATCATGACCTATCGTCGACCAATCGACGTTTTATATACCCCACAAACCCTATGATAAAAATCGCAATCCCACGCGATTCCGACGCTAATTGACAACAACTATGGCGGCGTATAACTAGGATGACGCCAGAGACTGTCGACGACGACGATCGTGGTCAAAAAGGGCGGTGGCGGTGGTTTAGTGTTAGAATTTAGAGATTTAGGGATTTTGAGGCTTTTGTGATTTAAAAGAAATTAGAGTTTTTGTTATAAATATGATAATATTTTTAATATTTTTTAAAATATAAATTAAAAAATTATCAGATTGTAACACATGTCACTTAATAGGAAAAACTAACGACTGTTACGTCTTGAACATTTAAAGTGGACGTGTTTGTAACGTTAGATACATAAATGGTCCAAAAAAATGTTTTAGGCACTTATTTAGGAAAAAAAAAAGGTTAGTTTCAGAACTTGCTTGGGGATTAAGCCAAAAACAAAAAGGATCGGTTATCAACGATAAATGAACAATAATCTGATTTGGTGTTGAGTCAAATTTAGAAGTGTCAGCATAGAGAAAGACTTTAATTCTAACGGTAAACATAAATTCGAAATTTTATTTCAGTTTGTCCTTATTTTCGTTAAAAAAAGAATATTATCAATGATAATAATTACTTTAATAAAAATATTATTTTAATTTGTTTGATAATTATTTATTAGTTCTTATCATTTCAGATAAAACTATTTTGAGATAATGAATTCTACTATGACTAAGATAATTATTATTTGGGTGTATATTTATTATGTTTTTATTCATGTTAATTTACATTTAAAAATTATTAATTACTATTTAAAAATTATTACACATATTTAAATAATAATTTCATATTGATATTTTTATTAATATTATTTATAATGTATTTAATATTATATTTTAAATATTGTTTTAATGTCTAGCTCATTAAATAAATATTGATTAAAATGTTCGATTAAGACAAGTTAAATTTGAACCTTGTTTCTTATACGAGAATTTAACTTGTAAGTTTATCATAATGAAATTATTATAAAATACTCGAATTTTGTTCGATATTAATGTATTAAAACTTAAAGTTTTGATAGTACGCTACTTTTGATTCTACACTCATTAGAAAGCTTGATCATCATTTAAGGTGAGTTCCCAACTCTAAAATATATATTTTAGTATAACTTAAATAATTATTTTTAGTCCTTAAAATTTAACTTAAAGTCTTATCATATATGATGAAAAAAATAAATACAATCTGTGTAATCCTTTTAAATATTCTAGTTATATTTAATATGTCGAATGTAACTTTTTATAAAATTTAGATAATATAATGAATTAGTTCTATGATTGTTAAGAAGAAATATTTAACAGGATAATTTAATAAATAAATTAAAATTCTCTACATAATCTTGTATTCTTTAATTAAATATGTATCTACATATTCTTATTATATGTTAAATAACGTACATTTTAAAAAACTTATTTTTAAATATAATGTTATATTTTGAAAACAAACACCAATTTACATTATAAATAAAGTTTAGGTACAATAATAAAATAAAGGTAGTAATTTAGGTGTTAAATATAGAATTTATCAAATTTATTAATATTTTATTGCGAGGGGCGGAGCCTAAGCTGTTCTTCCTGTGCTGCATTTAACAGAAAATTAATTACCAGACTCATTTCGATCTTCATCACCGTCTCCCCCTGCCATTTTATTTTAAACGAACTTCTCACCGAGATATTGAAGGTCCTTAAGAGTGGTGGGTCAAGGATGTTAAAAGGCTAGAGTAAGCAAGGTTCTTTCTCCCACGGGGAAGGTGCGATCGCTCAGATTCCTTAGTGGTTAGTCAGATTCAGCTCGTGTTCTGTCCAAGTAAAGCAAAGATTCCGTTCGTGGTGGCAGAATTGGAGGAAAGCAAAGCATGTCTGCTTTCTTGTTCTCAGATGCTACATAACGGCCGGGTTTTCACTCTGTCTCCTCTTTGAACGATTTTGTGTTCTGTTCGAGTAAAGCAAAGATTCCGTTCGTGGTGGCAGAATTGGAGGAAAGCAAAGCATGTGCTTTCTGTTCTCAGATGCTACATAACGGCCGGGTTTTCACTCTGTCCTCTTTGAACGATTTATTTGGCTTGGCCACTGCCACTAAAGATAGTTTTTGTTTGTCGGCCGGAAGTGTTTATCAGCTCAATCCATCTTACTACTGAATTTCTTTGGGTTTTTGAGGATGAGAAGATGGTATACCGGGGAAGTTAGTTTTGTCACTGGTTGTTGCAAATTTTTGACGAAATTTGGTTAATGCTGCAGATATTAGATGGCGTTGTCCATCTATGGATTCTATTATGGTAAGCATTGACGTGTCGATCAATTTGGTATCTATTTATAATAATGGTGAGGGTATTCCGGTTGAGAAGGAAGGAGGAGTTTTCGTGCCGGAAATATATTTTGGTCATCTTTTGACGGGAAGTAATTTCGACGACGATGTCAAAAGGATCTGAGGTGGTCGATATGGTTTTGGAGCGAAGATTACAAATATATTTTCGACTGAGTTTGTTGTGGAGACTGCGATGGAAAACGAAGGAAGCATTATAAACATGTAATTTTATTTTAATTGTTAAGTTAATTTTATATTAATAATTTATTTAGTAATAGAACGTAAAAATTATTACTAGTAAGAATTTTGTTTTCATCTTATTTTGATTGTGAATGTGGTTTATGTTTTAGTTAACAATTTAGGTAGGCAACTTGGACTTATGGTTGGTAGTCCTGAAACTGTGGTTCTTTAAAAGATTTGTCCTTAGTTATGCGTTGACGTTAGTTAGAGTATTGTTGGGGTTGTTAGGTGTTTGCTTTCGGTCTTTGAGACATCTTAGTTTGTGTTTTTTATTCGATTTGCAGCGGGGTCTGGATCGATTTCTTAAGTGTGTAATTTGTTCAGATTATAGTCTCTGATGGAGTGAGTCTAGGACTATAGGTTTCTTTTGATGAGAGGGTGAAGGGAGTGTTTTTTGGATGTTCCATGGTGTTAATCTTGGTTTCCGAGGTGTTATGGTGGATTTATCATTCAGAAGGTTAGGATGCTGTTCTTGAGGATTTTTGTGCTTGATGTTTTGGAGTCAGGCAGTCCTTGTTTTGCTCATTTCTGTGGAGGCTTGTGGGGTGGGGTGGGTTACTGTCAATTGTATTATGTGGTTTGTGTTTTTATCCTTGGTTGGTGTGGTGTTGAGGTGAAATTGTTCTGGTTTTTCGAAGAATTTTGTGGTAGGGTTGTTTGGCTGGTGTTTTTGTTGGTTGTTTAGTAATCCGTATTCCAAATTTTGGAGGCTTTCGATGAGTTTGTGTTGGGTTCTTCAGGTATATAGCAGTATCGGTTCCTTCTTTTTGCTTTTTCTGGTTGTTCGTTCTGGAGCTGTTGGAATTGCCATCCCTCGATCCAAAAAATTGAGTAAACTTAGAATAAATACTATTTATATCATCTTAGCTTAATCAAGACTGAATTTGTAAGTGTTATATGACACATATAGTTCTTCAGTTCATCTAGTTTCTGAAGCAGTTCTTGGAGATTGATAGTTGGGAAATTTTCATTGGAAGAGGATTCTTTGAATTAAACAAGTGTTATAGCTCATATTATATCATATTAAACATCTCCTAAATCTTGTTCATGGATGCAATTATTGTATAGATTAGATCATATGCACCTGACCTTCGGATTTGATCGCATTAATCCCATTTTTCATCAATCTAGTCATTAAACTTGAATGCTAAATGTCTATACATTCAAACACATGCACGATATTATAAATTGTTTTGCCAAAGTATAGTTAAATGCCCTTAAAAAATTTGCATGTAGCTTACTTTAAACATCAATTTCTCATTATTATTCAATTGTTTTGAGTTTTAAATGTATCATAGAATAGAATATAAAATCATGATTTTATATTCAAACCTTCAATTTTACGATAAGTGGTTTACCTGAAAGTTTTTATAAAAAATCCATTATTTCCAACAAATGGTTAGCAACTCCTCTTGTTACTACTCCGACTTCTCCTCACCTATTATGTTTTTCCAACAAATGGTTAGCAACTCCCTGTTACTATCTCCGACTTCTCCTCACCTATTATGTTCGTGTAGTTGACAATTAACATAATCATAATATAATCAGTTGACATATGATTTCTTAAAATATTTTTTTTTCAGTTAAGCCCTAACGTAGCAGCTGTTCTGCTATGGGTTCTGTCTCTGTCTTAATGTATAAAATAATGCAGTTGACAAATGAATCTGTCCTTTGGTAATAATTAGTCAATTGTCGATGCGTTTTTTCTTTAATAATTTCTGGTTATTTAGTAATAGAACGTTAAATTAGTATACTAGTAGGAATTTTGTTTTCATCTCTTATTTTGATTGTGAATGTGGTTTATGTTTTAGTTAACAAAGTTAAATTTTAAATTTAAATTTATCTTGTAACAGAAGTTCACAGACAATATGAGGCTAAGGACTCAACCTATTATTGAAGAATGCGGTGAAGAGGAAAATTGGACCAGAATTACATTTAAGCCAGACTTAGCTAAGTTTAATATGATTGAATTGGAAAGCGATATGATTGCATTGATGAAAAAAAGAGTATTCGACTTAGCTGCTTGTCTTGATAGCAATGTAGAGGTCAAATTCAATGGACAGAGTCTTGAAAATTCATTTATCAAATATGTGGACTATTACCTTAAAACTGTCTCTAAAACAGAAGCCAAACCCCCTTCCGCTGGTTGACCTTTTCCCATTCGAAAGGGTCAATTACGAAGGAGGTTTTCTGAGTTGCTAGATATTAAACTTGTTATTGTGAAATATACACATGCAACTTTTTCTCTTGCCCCCATCAACAAGTCACGAGATCACACTTTCGTTACCTGCGGGACAAATCCATCACCTTCCTTACACCGTCGAGTAATTTCAGTCCATAACTGTATTGTATGAGACTAGTTCTCCGTCTCCCCTGCCCTGTTATAGCAGTCTGGTCTGTAGCAACACATCCTGAAAGGAAAATGATTTTTTTTATATATGATTTGCTAGTTGTGCAAATGCTGTATATTTTTTCAAGTGAAATCTTTTTATATGTTTTCTATCAATGTTTTTCCTCTTAACTACCTTGTACTAATTACTTACTCCCTAGTCTATACATCTATACAATCATATATTTAATTATGTTGTCTTTATGCCATAAACTGATGGTTTTCGACTAGATCCACCCTAGTGGGGTCGTGTTTTTTTCAAAATTCAAGTTCGAGTTGGATCAGGTTTTTTAGAAGATAAGTTCAAGTTCAGATTTGGGAGAAATATTCGACCGACCCAATCCAAAAAATAATGTAAGTATACATTATATATTTAGAGATAATTGCAATAATATTCTTCTCTATATATACTTTTTCAATTAGATTCTTATTTTATCAAATACAATTAAAAATATTATATATGTTTATATATTTGAGTTGGATCAAATACATGTTTTATTTTAAAATACCGGTTGGGTGGAGTCACCATAAACTAGGGTTGAATCAAAATTTTGATGGAAATGTATTTTTCTCGGTTGATCGAAAACTCGATCCAACCCAACCTATACCCATTCTAATTAGGCCTAAATAGAACTTGGAACATAAAACATAATTATTATTTAATCACTATATTGAGTTAAATAATTATTATATAGCTAATAGAAATAATATTTAATTAAAATTAATTATATATTTAGATCAATTATAAAAAATTGATGTTATTTTTTATTACTTTTAATCAATATTTTAAGAGATTGTAAACTAAACTCTACAAATGATTTTGGTTATAATAAAATCAATATTTTAGAAATTTTCTAATATTAAGTTGGAGTTTTATCATATGCAAGTTTTGTATAAATTCTCCCAAAATTTCAACAGTTGTCTCTCTTCCGCCGCAAAGCTTCTTAATTTGAACCCTAATTGGTGCCGCCGTAAACCTTCATTTCTACTCCGCCGCAAAGCTAGACTTCCTTGTCTTTGTTCTTAATTTATAGGTGTTTCATGGGTAGGGCGATTTCAATACTCAATGAGCCTTAATCGCGGTTCGCTTCGTGCCGGTCCACCATTCATACCTCTAATCCAAAGCTCCCAACACAAAGTGTGAGTTTTGTTCGAGTGATTGATTTAACTTCCCCAAATTTCGATTTATTATTATTATTATTATTTCCGAAACTGCAGGTTTAGTTTTCCAGAAGCAGCCCCTTTTAAAGCCATCTTGAAATTCAGAGCCCCTCCCCAAAATCATCAATGGTAAATCAATTCCTTCCATCTACTTTTGTTAAGTATTATTTTTGTATTTTTTGTTTTGTTTTGCATGTTTTAATTAGGATTTGGGATTGGCAGGTTTTAACTGGCTTAGATTAGCATTTTTGGAGGGAAAAATAAGAATTTTGAATATAGTGATGATTTAGACAGAATTCCCAGGAGCCCTGTCATGCAAATCTCCCACCTTTCGTCTCTTGCCCGTCAACTACGAGTCACTTGATCACACTTTTGTTACATGCACGGGTAATCCCTCACCTTCCTTACTCTGTCGAGTAATTTCAGTTCATAGCTGCACTATTGCCTGAGCATAGCTGTATTGTATGAGATTAGTTCTCCGTCTCCCCTGACCTCAGTCTGGTCTGTAACAACACAATCTGAAAGGAGAATGGTTGATTTTGATTTTTTTTAATTGCTAGTATTGTACAAATGCTGTATATTTTTTCATGCGAAATCTCTTTATATGTTTTCTATGAAGCTTTTCCCCTTAACTGCCTTGTACAAATTAGTTACTCCCTAATCTAGACGATCATATATTTAATTATGTTGCCTTTATGCCATAATATTTTCAGGACTAGCGGGGCTGCTCGGCTGCATTAAATTAGATTTTGGTGTCTGCAATCTTGGCGCCTCTTTGCTTTGTGCTATTTTCAGGCCTAATAGTCTTGCGCATTTCCTTGAAAATCCTCAGAAATTATCTCAATAGAGAGATGACTACGACTGGTACGAGAAATTTTAAGGAAAAACGGATTTCAAAGAGGCGTCGACTGAGTAGACATGGGCCCAATTGGTCGGATCTCCCCCTCGACATCCTTGAACGTATAATTGGACGTTTGCGTTGGGTAGATCGAAGCCGGATACAAGCAGTTTGCAAGGCTTGGTCAGTCCCAAACACTTGTATTCCTGCTATTGGTGAACTCCCCTGGGCAATGAAATTTTGTTGGCGTTATGCCTCTTTGTATCTAATACAAGGTGAGTGCCGGCTGCTGGACCCTCTTTCCAGAGAGTACCTTGTCGAAGAAAGGAGCAGAGGACTAGAGTATCTACTTTTCCTTGATGCACGACCTTGTGCTTCTTTATATGGGTGGGTTCTTTAAAAAAGAGTCCCTCTTTTTGTACTCTCCGTTAACAACTGAGGTAATTAGGCTTCCGTATTTAGGGGGACCTCCCACATTTCAGGTGGCGGCGTTTTCCTTGAATGCAACATCCCCAAAAGGTACCATCTTTCTTTTGTGGAGTGAAAATGGAAAAATTTGTATTAAGTTATGTTCTGCCGGTGATTGTTCATGGAAGACTTTTGAGTTTGATGGTTTTGATCGGTTTAATCGTGCTAATGATGCTGCCTACACCAACGGAGTTTTCTATTGTGTTTTTAGAGGAGGACAATTGGGTGCCTTCAATGTTGAACTTAAAGGGTGGACTATTCTGGTTGATCATTGTCCACTCGTTGATCATTGTCCACTCTCACGAAGTAGTGTGCATTATGCTAAACTCATTGTGTCTGGTGCAGATCTGCAACTGTTGTCTGATAGCTCATCTTTGGAACTCCTTAAGCTTGATTTTGCAAAGATGAATTGGGTTTATGAAAATGATTTGAATAACCGGGTGTTGTTTATCGGGTGCACTTCTTTCTCTGTTCCAGCAGTGGGGGAAGCAAATGTATTGGCAAATACCATATTCGCTTCTGGTACTTTGATGCACCCCAAAGTTAGATTTTATGGCAGCACATCTCCAAGGCAGTCGAGACTCTACCGTAAGTGTGTTGAGGCAGCAAAGTGCGACAGGATTTGGATTGAACTTCCGTTGGGTGGTATTTGGAGAGCCGATGATTTGATTCATGCTGTCTAGTTGAATGCTGCAATGCAAACCAACCATCAACAGCATTTTTTATTTGTGTTTGGATCAATTAATTATTCCTGGAACATCATATGTCTTCATGAATGGAGTTTCAATTTTAGTAAGTATTCATGGTACTTCATCAGAAGATCTTTGACCTTAGTTATGGGGTTTAGATCATGGAAAGAAGATTTAGCTAAGATTTGATAAAACCATAATAGGTAAACTAAGTAACAAATAAATTTAAAGAATTGAAAGTTGGTGAAAACAAACCTTAAATCACAACACTCCGATATATATATATATATATATATATATACAGAAAATAAAAGGCTTAATACCTAAATAAGTATTCAAATTATACATTTTTTCTCGAATAGGTGCCGACAGTATTTTTCGGATCATTTAGGTGACTAACGTTATAAACGTTATCACTTTAATTGCCTGAATCATCAACGACGTTAATTTCCTCTGTTAAGTGACACGTGTTACAATCTTATAATATATTTAGTAATATTTTTTTAAAAATAAATTATATACTTTTTAAAAAGAGAACACAAATTTCGAAATACGCATAAAACATTGAAAACCTTCATTTCAACACCTAAACTTACGCCGACCGTCGCCCTTTGTCGTCGATGAAGCTCCACCTGACCTCACCTCCAGCTGTGGACCAAAATCCCTACGAAATCGTGACCTATCGACTGTCAATCGATTGTGAATCGACGTTTTATACCATGCGAACCCTAAGATGAAAATCGTGATCCCATATGATTCCGACAATCAATCGACGATAATTACGACGGCATATAACTAAGACAATGGCAGAAACTATGTTGGCGACGATGGTAGTAGCTGGAAAGGGTGACGATGGTGGTTTAATGTTAGAATTTGAGAATTTTAGAGATTTTGAGACTTTTTTGTAATTTAATAGAAATTAAATTTTTTTTTATAAATATAATATTATTTTTAATATTTTTTAAAAAATAAATTTTAAATTATCAAATTGTGGCATGTGTCATTTGACGGATAAAATCTTGTTGCTCATCAAGTCATCGATATATTTAACTTATGATTATTCAGAAAGTATATATATTTTTATGACTAATGCAATCTACGTACATTTTTCAGAAAAAAGAAAACAAAAATACAAGCAAGATATGAAAGTAGGCATAAGTTGATGACCATCATCTCCCATGGATGTTACAATCTCTACAAATATATAAAAGTGGGAAGATCATGTCTAAATCTGTCTGCTTTTACATAAAGGTGACTCAACAACATAACATGCATGCATGCAACGACAATCAACTGCATAGATAAACAAAACATCATGACAGTAATACACTTTTGCATCAAAATCACAATCCAAGAGATGGACATTGCTTTCTTGCATGCTCCGGAATCAGCTTCACCGATATCTCCACCGGAAAACCCTTCAGTTCTGGTGGACACGATAACATCACCATTGTTATAATCAATCATGCATCTTTAACAATACACGAAAAAGTTTATTTCAAAGAAAATGTATGTTTTTTTTCTTCTCAACTATTCCTTACCGTGAGGTTTGAAGTTAAACAATGGCGGAAGGAAACGACCATTTGGTAAGCGGGCATTTGAATCGCGCAACTCGTCAAAGAAAGGATGGATCAAGGCATCTAGCTGCAAATTGAGTGACACTTGCAAAATGAGATGCACGAAACAAACCAAAAGATCATCGGTAAAGAGAACACATTAATGTCCCTCTTCGCAGCTTACTCTATGAGTTTTCTTGTCAACTCCCTTTTTCATCACGAAGATACCTCAATGCTTGGAGTTCACTCCAAAAGTCGCAAATCAAAGGAAAAACACGAACCATGATATAATAAAGGTTTTATATGCTTACAGCAGAACACCGGAGATTAGGGGAGTATTGGTAATCTCGACACCAAATCAACAGCTTCAGGAGGCATGCGCTTATGGAATATCTGGTACAAAAAATATTTCAAATCATTGTTCCATAAGATTAAACAGAAGACCATTTGCACACTCGTTCTTTGATCCTTAATACCTTATGCCACGGGTGAGCCTTAATCTGAGGGAATTTGAACTCTGTATAATTAGGGTTCATACACTTTATTTCCTCTCGTGTTGGAGTGCCCAAGACCTAGAAAATAGTCGCATAATAATCATAACAAGAGAGAAATGGTCAGTTTGACATTGCAAATTACTAAAGAAGGTATAATGATATCAAACAGAACACGTGCAATGGAAAAGTATTAGGACCAAAGTTTATTAGCCAAGTACACATCCACAAGGAACACGAGTATTGCACGACATTATCATTAACAAAGGCACTTATAGAAACCATAATAAATGGCAATTTTAAATAGCAACGAATCTGTTATCTCTGTGAAGAAATAAGTTTCCTCCCATTGAAACATTCCACAATGACATTATTGTAATAATGTGGACATATGCATACGCACACAAAAGCATTGCACTAACTATTCACTCAGAAAGTTAAATACCTTAATAATCTCAACAAGCTGGTCGACTCCACTCTCACCAGGAAATAAAGGCTGAGATAAATAGGAAATTTTTTTATTACGGAACGCCAACCTTAATTTAAGGCAATAATAACAACCATAAACCTCATATGTACAAGCTTCCTACCTGTCCAAGTAGCATTTCAGCAAGGACACAGCCAGCAGACCAGATGTCAATAGCCGTAGTGTACTCGGTTGCTCCAAATATTAGTTCAGGTGCTCTATAATACCTTGAGCAGATGTAGGATATGTTTGGTTCCCCTTTCACCTACCAAGATATGAAAATGTGAAATAGTAAGACCTAAGCGAAACTCAAAGATTCATAAACAAATAATTAAATACGATAGAGATTACAACCTACCAAAACTTTCGCACTTCCAAAATCACATAGTTTAACTTGTTGAGTATGCGGATTTACCTGTAGGCAGGAAAGAGTAATACATCAAGATCATGTTGAAAATTAAGAGGATTGACATGACAAGTTATTCACTTTGCAGGTAAGGGGTTCTACTAAAATAAAAAAACGAGGCAAATGTCACAGTAGAAAGATATTTGAACATACCAAAAGGTTTTGAGGTTTGATGTCCCGATGACACACACCAATGCTGCGATGGATGTAAGACAAAGCCCTAAATATCTACCAAACATCAACTTTTATTAGCATCTGAGATGACTCAATTAAAAAGAACACGAAAAACCAAAATTTTAAACACCAACATGTACCTGGTATGTATAAAGTTTCACATATATCAATGGCATCCTTTGGTTCAACTTGTTATGGTGCTTGATAACACGATGAACAGTTTCAGGTACGTACTCAAGTACCAAATTGAGATAAAGTTCATCCTTCTCTGTTGTAGAAAAAAAGCAATGTTTCAAAGCCACAACGTTTGGGTGGTCAAGAAGTCGCATTGTTTGCAGCTCACGGTTCTTGTACCTCTTATCTTGAAGAACCTTCTTTATAGCAACAGTTTCACCTGTCTCCAAGCACTTTGCCTTTAAAAAGAAAAAGAAAAAAGAAACAATGAACATCCATATAACCTAAAAATGATGATTAGCAAGTTATGCCACCTTTCGTGAATCAAACAAGTGTTTCTTACCTGGAAGACAACTCCAAATGATCCATGTCCTACCACACGCTCAGCCATGTAACTTATAGTCTGGATTTATGGAGTTATATTAGAAGATGTCATGTAATGAAAGAAAATGGGGAAGAAGGATAACTAATGTGTAATGTTTAAACACTGCAATTAAATCTCAAAGCAGAAGAAGTAATACCTGTTTCGGCTGACCATTTCTACCACCAATCGTTGTCACAATTATATGCCCTGTCTCTGTCCCATTACCATCCACAACTGTTGCTTCCATTTCCTAAAAATTAGAGATGATCCATGAGTCATAGCAGCATTTCGTTTTTCATTTTGTTTTACTAATGAAAGCGAGTAGTACTCAGTAATTATTAAATTAAATGATTAGAAAATGCAAAGCAGGGAATCACAATGGTAAAAGGAACAAAAAGGAGCGTTCAAAAATGCATACTTTTTCATCTCTAATTTTCATGTCATTCATCTCCTCGGGTAACTTCTCGACATCAGCAGCACTAGATTCCGTTACACCAGAAGTAGGTACCGTGCCCCCGGAAGCCATCTTTAAGACAAAAGACTGTCCTCCTAATTTTCCACCTCACAGCCAATCATTTATCTACATTGCAAAAGGACAAAAAAAGATGTCACTAAAACTAAACTGAGATACATCAAATATGTTAAAAACAACCTCTATCATTAACTGCACCATGAAGACTACAGTAGAACAAACTCACAAAATACCCACAAAAAATCAAGTGCACTAAACCCCTTTTACCTATGTAGCAATCCAACCTTAACACACACACAAAACACTCATCCCCTTTCAAAACCAGCAAGAATCTTAACAAATACCAATTATTTTAGCCAGAATATAAACTGCAACAGTTTTGAGCCCATCAAAGCACAAATCTTTTAGCTTTTATCTTGCATATACATATACCTACACAATTATACTTAAATACGTATATATTATACACAGGAAATCTCCATATCAAGCTTAAAAAAAAGATTTTAAGATATCATTCAGACAAAAAGGAGCTAATGAGACTTCAAAAAATATAATAGCAAATAAAAAGAAGCATAAACTGAATATCCTCAATTACAAGCACTTACTTTGCAACTTTTTGAGGAGGGAATTTCATGATATAAATACATCTAATGATTAAGGACTCATCAAGGCAACAACGAAACCAAATAACAGATGACCCATCTTCCATTACTTTTCAACAATAAAATCAAAAGTATTTTCTAAAAAAATTAAAAATAAAACACAAGAGGTAGACATGAACCACAGGAAAAAAAAACATATTTTTTCTTCTTTGGGAAGTAAAAACAACGTGAGGATCTAAATCTGACAACCAGAAACAAGAACGTACAAGAAAGAAGCCGATCCAAAACAAATATTTTTTTAAAAATACCCAGAAATGCATCAATTCTATGGATAAACTGAAGGGGGGGAAACCCCAAAAGAAAGAATTAAAAGAACAAAAACTAAGAGAGGAAGACATACATAGGGATTGAAAGAGGAAATAGAGGAGAAGCAGCAGCAGCAGCAGCAGCGGTGAAGAAGGGAGAAATCGGCAAAAAGGAAATAAATTTAATTTTATACTTGTACTCTGCAAATTGTGATTTGTGAATTGTATGATGGTTTAGAGAAATTTGGTGGTTCACATGCTATTTTAGTTTTTTTTAATTCAGTATTTTGATTTATTATTATTTAATTAAATATTTTATTATTTATTAGTAAATAATACATATATAAAGTGTTTTTTATTGTTTTGGATTTGGATTGAAATTATTATAGGCCAAAATGTAGTGAAAGTCTGTAAATTATATTTAGATGATTTTTTTTATTGATTAAGATATTTAGATTATTTTTTTATTATTAAAATTTAAAAATTATAAAGTAATTATTAAATGATTTGTATAATTATTAAATAATCAACTTTATATTAATTAATGTTAAATGAATGATATAAAATATTAATTTAACTTTATTTTTTAAACATTAATCAAAAGATTTGTTATGTAATTAGAGACGTGATTTATAATATATATTTTTTAAAAAGTATTTTTATGTAAACGTGAGTGGAGAGAGAATTTAATATGAAATCGACGAATTTTTCCTAATCTACTTTGACATGGTAGGAATTTCTAAAAAAAAATCAAGTTCAGATAAGGTTAATTCGAATTTTATACAGGGGTGAGTCGAGTCGGATTTTATATAGAGGTGAGTCGAGTTGATCGAGTTTATCTAGAGGGTGAAAAACCTCAAATCCAACTCGACCTAAGAATAAGTGTGATTGTTCATATAAATTTATGAATAATTACTATAATACCTTTATCTCAATAGTTTTTTTTAATTATATCATTATTTTTTATATAAGGTAGGATCAAATCGAATTAGATTTATATTTTAAAAATTCAAGTCAAATTAGATTCAAGAGAAGAATATATATATATATATATATATATATATATATTCAAATCAAATTAAATTGACCAAAAATTTAATTCAACCCGACCGGTTATCATCTCTAAACACGAGTTATCAAAAGAAATATTATATAAGTACTATTATAATAAAAATATTTTAGTTAAGATAAAAAAATCTAAAATTAGCTATTAATTTTTTTAATAAAGTAAATATGGTAGAAAAAGTTCATTCGGGAACTCTCCTGTACTTTACTCATTATTGTATTGGTCTGTCATAGTGTTGACAGAGACAGACTGTTGAAACAGAAAAGGAGTTTCTTTATCTCCTCTATTTAATCATTTTTGTGATTAAATAAAGATTAAAATGTTGAACACCATTATTATTGCTTTCTGTATTAGGCATAAGAAAAGGAATTGCACAGCTTCTAATCAACCAAACTTAAAAATAAACTCACTAAGCTCAAATTTCATGACTGTTCTAAGAAATAGACATCCACATGTACATGCACGCATACATTCACACATGCATACATTAACCAAACAACAATTCAATGATTCATAAAACCAAAAATAAAGCATTCCAAAGGGTCAATCTTGTTAGGATAAGTGAAAATATGGTCACCCCAAATGTAGTGGAACATAAAACACCAAACCATTAAAGAAAACGTTTACTCCCATTAAATGATGCCCACCAATATATCGGAACATGATCCTAGTAGCATAAATACTACATACCACACTTAAGAGCTATATGTTAGACAACTACTTTCTTCTAAAATACCAGCTGCTGCTACTAAATCATATGTCTAGACATTTAAAATCAACTGGAAATATAATATCACATCTACCGCAGCTTGGAACGTTTGGGAATTGAACTACTAGGAGGAGCTCGAGATTTACCAAGAGCCTTCATTTTCCTTCTCCTCCTGTCCTCCTCGCTGTCCGATTCGTTCCCCTTCTCCCTGTCTGCATTGCTTGCTTCCCTCTCCAACTCCTCCCATGTCTTCCCCTTTTCTTCCTCAGACTCTTCCTCGGATTCTTCTTCCTCTTCATCCTCGGACTCTACCAATGACTCACTATCAGAGACGTCATCCTCTGACTCGGATTCAGGCTCCACATCAGATGGCTGATAACCCTGATCTGATTCCTCTTCATCCTCCGAATCAGAATCACTAGCTTCCAAGTTCAAAAATTCCCAACCCCCATTTTCAATGAAGCTCTGTGGATCATCAGTGATTGTCTTCAGAATCTGCCGCCAATTCAGATTCAGCCTGCTCTCATAATACTTGATGTCTGTCGTATCCAGCCATTCCTTGATGCCATCAAGTGCGGTTGAAGGGATGGAATCAATCCTGAGTACATCTTTCTTGAAGTCCTTAAAGACAATGGTCATGTCAAAATTTTTCTGCCCAAGGCCAACTCTCTCCAGGTTGACAATCTCAATTTCACTTAAGGTCACCACAAGGAAAGGATTCTCTACCAGCTCAACCAAACAGCTTGAGGTTGGAACGATAAAAGCCGAGGCCTTGTACGGGACCCCATGGAAGCCAAGTTCTCTAAGAGGCTGATCAAACTCAAGATCAAGACCATTAAACTGAGGCTGCCCCCAAAGATCATTTACCCGATTCACAAAACTCTGAAAATCCATGTTGATCTTATTCTTCCTATCCCTCTCCCTTTGCTCTTCTTCAATTTCATCTGGGTCATAAGCAGATCTCTTTGCCCCTCCCAATGTCTGTACTACATCCATAACCTCAACATAAAATTGTACATCCTTGGTTTTCTTGTTTCCGACCATTATGTGGTTGTGCAGATGAAAGTGAAGGAGAGTGATCATCTCCTTCTCAGCAGGCTGGAAGAATGCATGCTTTATGTTTCCATACATGATGTCTACACGCTCATCAGCTCTAGTGGTAGAATACCGGAATCCATTAACATGGGCTTCAAGTGTTCCTGGAATCTTTCTCCCACGGCCACCAAAAACAGGACGTATCCAAAGGTCAGATAGCCGTATAGGCTTGAACCTGTTCCCTGCAAGTTGAAGTTTTTCCTGGGTAACCAAGGTCGCTCTCTCAGCCTTCTCAGATTCCCTGGCCACAACATGCCGACGAAGTGTTTTAATCTGCTGTACCACTTCACTTATGTGCCTTGGATCTTTGGAGCGGAATGAGACTTCTTTTAGATAGATTGCTCCTTGATTCTTTAGAGAGTTTGAATCATGAGGGCTAAAAGGAGTCCCTGGAACATGAAATATAATCCGGATAAAGCAATTCCGATTGGTATCCTGCTGGCTGGAAACTGTCCTTATAGTAGCCACATGGAAAGGTACCATACTACCATAAATTGGCAAGAGGACAGCCTCATTCTTTTGGTCAACTTGAATCATAAAATCTCTGGGAGGAGGCAGGTCATTCACATTTTTATAGGCTATCAAATCAGTTGAAGCCTTTGCAACTGAACGGTTGTCTCCATTCCCAGGTCCACCCGCAAGTCGCCTAGCTGTTTCTTCATTTTTCTGACGAGCAAGTTCTGCTTGGTGCTGCCTCCGCAACTCCTCCTTAGAGATCTCATGGTTATCTGATCTAAGCACTGTCTTCGACATAAACGGCTCAAAGCCATTAGTTTCAGCCCTCACAGACTTTTCCTCTTCCTCCTCATCTTCATTGAACGAGTAAGCCACATCCTTAACAGCCTTGGAACATTTGCCAGTCACCACTTCAGTATTTTGTTCACCAACTATGACTGTATCAGCAAGTAAGAGAGAGAGAAATTACTGCTCTTTGGTTTCTTACTCTGACACTGCAAGTTCTGAAAACCAAGTGACACATTGAAAACCATTCCTGCTTTGACCAAACGTTCATTCTTCCCATTGAGATTAAGCCCCGACTCGCGAAACTCAAGACCAATTCCTGTCCCAGCAGATTTTGTTAGATTGGGAATCCAGTCAGGAGCCTCCTTCTCAACAATTGAAAATACAGCTTGATACGCAGCACTAAACTTTCTCCCAGGCTTTAATGCACCAATTGCAGCTTCATGGGCCTTAAGAAGAACCCCATATGCTTTGCTCTGAACTGGAGTGGCATCGATCAAGAAAGTCCTGGCAATATTTGAGCAATAACTGTTATAACGAGCTCCAACTGCACATAAGATAACACTGGCAGAATCATAGTAAAGATTCTCATCATTGCTTGCAGCACTAGGTCTGAGATCAAACTCACCCCCACTTTGAAATATGGGAGGATAACAAATATCAACATTCTCTGGCTTAAGTTTTACTTTGGCTAGCTGAGGATTCACTATGGCTTTCTCAGTTTCATCCATCAAGGCAGCATGAGTAATTTTCTTCTCCTCATCAATCACACTCTCAAGTTTTGGAACCACAATATTGTTCATCACATTGTAACTTAAATACGCAGCTTTCTTGACATTCATAACCTCTTCTTTGTCTTTCACAGCGAACAGGTCAGATAAACCATTGGTTACATCAGTAAGCTGAAAGCCAGAACTTTTTTAGTTGTTCAGCCCATGTCTCTAAAAGCTTTCCTTCAGGAGCTTCTCGAGCAATGTGACCAAAAATAGGAGCATCATTTTCAAATCCCTTGTATTGTACCCTGATGGACTTAAATATAGCATCCATCAACGAAATTCCACCATCACTTTTTGCCTTCACGTGCATCACAATATCAGCCCCCACAGCCTCCTTAGCAGATTTCTTCACAACTTCAAGAAGAGAAGCTTTCTTCATGCTACACAAGAAATGAATCTGCTTCTTTGTGAAAACAATTATAGTCTCAGGAAACTCATAACCTAGCAACCAAATGTCTAGAGCTGATGATTTCAAATATCGCAGATCTTCTGAAGGTGGCGGTGTAGCTACTGCAACAACATCAGAAGAGCCCCAGAGCTCCGCTTTGTATTCATTCCAGTGCGAATACATAGCCTTCAGACGTTTGCTGAAATTGTCCAGATTAATAGAGTAAGTGTTTCCTGATTCAGGAGCTGTCCCGTTTGGATGCTGGCCATTTGCACCCCGATGATCAGCCATTTAGGAACTATTCTGCAATTGAAAGTAGGAACAATTAATAACCAATATATAGAGATGACCAAAGAAGAAAATGTGACAGGAGAAAACATGAGAATTTTCTAACTAATAGTTCAACAGCAATTTCAACTAAGGGTTAGGATAGCTCTTCAGGAAGCTTAAATCACTTGAGAAACTATAGAAATAAATGCAATATCCCAACATGCCACAGTCCTCATAAAAAACGATTCATCAAACCCAAATCAAAACCCTGGAATTTAAAGTTCGATTAAGTTCAAGCTTCGCAAATTAATACCAGAAAACATATAAAAACCCAGTATTACATCTCGAAACACCAATGGAATCAGTCTAACACTTTAACTTCCAATCAAACGAAACTCAAAATTCAATCCAATTTAGGGTTCGAATGGTACCAAATACTAAAAAGAACACTAAAACAAAGGGAATGCAATGAGAAAACTCACGTTGCCGAATTCTGCAGACAATTTCCTATTATTTTCAGCCCAGGATCCCCAGGCTTCGAAGGCAAATTAGGCTTATTGCATCTGCGGCGGCCGCACACTGACTTGGAGAATGCGAAACTAGGGTTAGGGTTTCGAATAGAGCAGCAAAAAGAAACCGAGCCCAAAATCCGAGGCTTGTATAACAAAATTAATTGGCCAAAACAAAGAAGAGAAACGAAGCTGGGGAGCGAAGAAATTAGAGGAAATTCGAGGATTTGTTCCTTCGATTTTGGGAATCGAAGATTTCAAGAGAACAACGAAAAATCTGAGAAACGGGAATTGCGAAAGGCAAAATATAAATGGCGGGGAAGAGATTGAGAGAGGTCTAGAGATGGCTTATATAGGCCCACTGATTACGAAAATTGGCCTGAGGTTTCGGAAATTTACGACCGATGCCACCACCTTATGTGTCGAAGTTACGTGATTGTCCTTGATGACGTGGATATTCCTTTTATGGTTTGACATTAATGGACAACTGACGTCCTAATTTTTTACTTAAATTTGATTTAATTCTATTTGATTTATAAAAAATTAAATTTAAAATTATTAAAATAAAAAAATTAAAATTGTAATATTTCGATTTAAAATTAATTAAATATCATAAAACTCTAAATCTGATGTGATTAAAGCTCAAATTATTTAGAATTTGTAATAATCCAATCATAAGTAATCTAAGATAATCCAACCCTATATTGATTAAAGTTCGAATTATTCATAACTTATAATGATTTAACTAAAAAATATAATCTTTATGATAAAAACAACTAGTTTTATTAAAAAAAATTAAATTACAATTAAGATTTATAATCATAACCATAAATGAAATATACAATTAGGATATTTTTTTTATTATTATTGACACAAGAAACTTGTCACTTAAGATCATATAATGACCAAACAAGGAAAATATTAAAAACCCATCCCAAAACGTGGATAAAATGTATATACGAACGATCTGACTAATCGACAAACAAACAATAGTATGAGATCAAACTACTGAAGACCACTGACACTGCGAATGAGAGTCGACCGTCGTGAGAAAACTATATACGAAAACAAATGATGTATTTAAATCTAATCCGAATGTCTAAAGAAGAGAATATTAGTAGGATAACAAATAAATGTCATCTTAATTAATCAAGGCGACGCCAAAACCAATTAGAAGAAAATAAACGAAATAAAATATTTAACAATCGAAAAAGAAAACTAAAATCGTGCCAAAAATCAAAATTAATAAAAACTAAAAAAAAGAAAAGAAATCATAGATACAAATATAAAAATATAAATAAAAAATAGACAAACGACAACTAATACTAAGATTTACTCTCAGCTGAAATAAGAAAATTCTTTAGAAAAATATATGATCTTAAGGTCTAACTTTAAATTATTTAAAATTAAAAATAATACAAAACCCAAACTAATTTAAAGCCTAATTGATATTCTCGCTAATTGGTAGACTTTGATAGGGGTATTATTTTCTATAAAATGGGTTCTGCGATGGTTGGGTACAACTGGAATTTCACTTTTTGCAAAGGCGCGGGAGTTATATTGCCGGGTAAAACAGAAACGGCGCCGTTTGAAGATGGGATGCACAACGCCGTCGTTTTATTCTCAGCTACTGTTTCTTATGAGCGGGAAATAGATTCTGACCCCTTAAATGTGGCGGGAAGATGTTAAGTATATTATATAAAACAAAATATATATTTTTTCGGTTTCATGTCTGTCCCTAACAAAGGAATATATTCCTTATGTCTGTCCCTCTCACAAAGCACTTTGTAGGGTTCTCGAATTCATTCTGTAGAACTGCTTCGTATGGGTATTTCACCAGCGACATGTAATGGAACCATATCCAGTAGCCCGGGATCCGGTTTCGGTTGATGAAGAAGCCGCTGAAGAGTAAGAAGTATGCTAAGATGGCGACCACGATCGTGTAGCCTAACATCACATGTGGGACGACTCCCCAGAGGAATGTCACGAACGAACTCCCAGACCAGAATGCAGCAAACATGATTAAGAAGTAGAATAAGAATCCCGACGATCCGCCGTCGAGGCCGACCGCCCAAAACGTCGTCATTGCGAAAGAAAAGGAGAGGAAGATCAAGCCCGGTAGTGTCACCAAGGCATTTGATATTACGTGTGATAGTCTCCTGTAAGCATTGTGAGCAGTTTCTCTGATGAAGATGTACCTTTCTTGGAGGAACACAGGGAGAGCGTCGGCACTGGTGTAGAACGTGGTCGACATGGCGAATGCGAAGAATCCTAGTCTTTCTTGTACCCCTTTGGGCGAATTATCGAGCTGCCAAAACACCGTGGCCAGGATGAACCCTGTCACTAAAACTGCTCCCAAACGAATACCAAACAGTTCCGGCATTAGTCTCGAATTCAAGAAGGATCGGTTTGACAGTACCTACATTTCCTTCCAGAATGGATTTGCAAATCTTGGAACCATGGAAGTTGATTTGACATCGTTCGTTGCACCCGGAACAAAGTTTCCCTCGAGAAATACTTGCGCTAATTGCTTCTTTTAGTGATAAACCGAGCCGATCAGGCTCTGAGTCACTCGTATGCTTCTTGCTTTGCCATGACTTGTTGAATTCAGCCAAACTCTTTGTTCCTCCGGGAGAGGCTTCGAGTTCACGGATTAAGTCCAGAGCAAACTCTGTTTTGTTCTCGTTCTGGGCTATCGGATACCCGAATTCAGAGAAATACAACGGCAGATTCATCGGTGAACCGCTGTAAACAGTTTGTCCACGAGACAAAAATATCAATCGGTCAAGCAATCCAAGAATGCGAAAACTTGGTTGATGAACTGACATTATAACAATGCTCCCACTTTGAGCAATCCTCTGTAAAACCTTCATCACCATGAAAGCACTGGTCGAATCGAGCCCAGATGTTGGCTCGTCCAAGAAAAGGATAATGGGATCATGAATTATATTGATGCCTATCGATACACGACGACGCTCTCCGCCAGAAACACCTCTTTGGCCTTCGTCTCCGATGACTGTTTTGGCAGCGTTTCTTAAGCCTAATTGATCGATCAAAGCTTGAACTCTCATTTTCTTCTTGGATTTGGACAAAGTCCGAGGAAGACGAAACTCAGCAGCGAACATTAAGGTTTCCTCAACAGTGAGCATTGGATAAAGCATATCATCTTGCATAACGTAAGCTGAAATCACTTTCAACATTCTTGATTCCAAAGCTTCGCCATTTAGACTCACTTTCCCCCTTCAAACTCCCTTTAGCGATTCTGTCGGCTAAAGCATCAATCAGAGTCGATTTACCCGAACCGCTAGCTCCGAGCACCGCCATTATCTCCCCATCTCGAGCCTCCCCGGAGATATCATTAAGCAGCGTCTTGGTCCTCGTGAAATAACTGTCTCCACCAAGTGAATCTCCAACGACAGTGGCGGCGCTTCCACCCCTCCGTCGGAAGAAACCAGACAACGCCATTTTGCGAGGAACCTTTACAGTATAAGTAAGGTTGTTAAAGGAAAGAACGAAGGGTATCGGGCGTGGCTCGGTGACGTCGACGAGGACTTCATGGACAGGAGTTTCGTCGCCGGTGGCTTCTTTCCGTGCATCACCGACGTGTTGAAGTAATTGGCCAAGAGTCCTGGAAGCTGCCGTGGCGGTTGAAATTCGCCGGCGATAAGCTCCAAAGAGCGTTGAAAAAACCGGGAGGAATTATTAGTATCGTGGGACAACATGTTTCCGGGGACAACAGTAGACATCATGGGCTTAGCTTGAACTCCTTTTCTGTGTAGAAAACAAATGTCTGCCAATGGCGACAGTTTCGATCGTTTTTAAGACAAGAAGACGAAGATGTTTCAGTGTTGGTTTGGGAGAATTGTATTTATATAGGAATTAATTGTGGAATTAATTGTTAATTTTATGTAATGGAGAGGTCACCTAAATCATCTAATCTCAAAACATTTCTTCTTCGAAGGAGGCAATAGGACACGTGGGTGGCTATGATTTCAGATTATATGGTTTTAGATTCATGGGGTGAGTGACACGTGGTGTAATGGGTTTCTGAGTTAGGTTGGATGTTGATCGACTGCGACTGAGTTATATTGAGTTCCATCAATATAATTTCGCCTGTATACACTTAAGCACTTCTTGTTTGAGGTGTTTAATCAGAATGATCCCACAGTTTTAGGGTTTGTGAATTGTGATTTTTTATTTCACACTGTTTGCAGGATTTCATATTTCCTTTGTTGGGTCAGATTTAGAAAGAAGAGAAAATGGATGATAGTTGTGCTGTTTGTGCTGACACACTTGAATGGGTTGCATACGGGCATGTGGCCATCGAGAAGTTTGCTCGATTTGTGTCGTCCGTCTCCGTTTCGTTTGCGGCGACCACCGTTGCTGCCTCTGCAAGTCCGATCTGAAAACTATCTTTATTACCAAGGTTTGTCTTTATTTTTCTGATTTTGACATTCACATCTGATTATATCGAATAATCAATGTATGGTTAAGTTTATGTTTAATGATTTTTACAGGCTTTGAGAGATTATACAGAGGTGATAAATTATTTCGAGGCTTTTCCAGCTGATCCGGTCGAGGGCCGAGTTGGGTCTTACTGGTACCATGAAGGGACACAAGCATATTTTGATGATCTGGATCACTACAAGATGATAAAAGCGATGTGCAGGCTATCTTGTACTGTTTGCCATAATAAGGATGAGCAGCGAAATGCTAGATCGGAGAAGAGAGAAGAGTTTAAGAACATCGAGCAGGTTAAGTGTCACTTGTTTAAACGGCATAGCCTGCTTATCTGCAGACTGTGTCTCGAAGGTAGGAAGGTGAGATACAGTTGGTTATATTATATGATGAAATAAGATGGTTGTGTTTCTTCCCACGGATTAGAAACTATGCTAGATACATTATTTGTTTGGAACTAGAAAACCTATGTGATTCGGACTCTGGTATGATAATTTTTGTTCTGTGTACCTCTTTGCTACACGATGACGTATTTGAGATTTTCTTGGATTTTTGAGTCAGGTCTTCATGTGTGAGCAAAAGTTATATACTAGAGCACAACTGGATAAGCATATAAAGACAGGTGATTCCGAAGTTGATGGCACTGAAAGTGAAAGGGGAGGATTTATGGGGCATCCTATGTGTGAATTCTGTCAAAATCCGTTCTACGGGGAGCACGAACACTACCTGCATATGTCTACCGAACACTTCACTTGCCACATATGCCAAAGGTAAGCCACATTATTGTGATATAATAGTAGTTCAGAGATTGCAAATGTTAGGTATTGCCAGTTCTTCCATGCATCCAACTTCTCTGGCTCATTGCAGGCGGCATCCAGGACAATATGAATACTTTAGAAATTATGACGACATGGAGGTCGGTGTTCATTTCCTTTATTCCCCTTTCTTGTTGCAGCTGTTCTATTTTGATTTTCCATAGCATCATAAATTTTGCTGCAGATCCATTTTAGTCAAGAGCATCATTTATGTGAGGATGAGGCCTGCCGTGCCAAAAAATTTGTTGTTGTTGCGACTCGATCTGAATTAAAGGTCTGTTGCACAATCGTTATATATGTGTCATTTTCCTCTTGGTTTAAATACAATGCTTTTTTGTATTAAAGAGAGAAAATTCTGTAGAGGCACAATACTGTCGAACATGGTGGGTGCATGTCTCGTTCCAAGCGTAATGCTGCACTGCAGGTGCATTTGGATTCTTTCGAATTTTTCATAGATAAAAATCATGTTTCTTCAATATCCCTTATCTTGTTATTTTGTTATGCTGCATTTTAGACAATTATTCACTTTGTTCTGTTTCTTTCCATTATATCTAGATACCCATAAGTTTCCAGTACCGGCGCAGTCATGAGCGAGATCATCCGGTAAGAGGACGTGTTACCTATCCTAATTCATTTCATAGTCAACTTTCGTCGGCCATGCAGGCTAGTCTTGTGACTGCGAGTGCTGAAAGTTCCCATTATAGTTCTACAAGCAACCGAGTGGTTGTAAATAGCGAAGTAGCCTCTGTAGTTGGTCGTTTCGAGGTATTAGCTACAATAGCTTCTGGGCCATCTTCAAGATACCAAGCACTAGAAAACTCTAGGGCTGAACTTCTTGAAGACTCATCATTTCCTCCCCTTCCTGCAGCATCAAATAGCAGTCGACAGAGTCAGAAACGGTTCACAAGGATCATCCGGAAGGAGCATTCCTGCTCCGTTATGGCACCGAAACAATGGAACTTCAAATGTTGTTTCTAATACTGCTCAGGTTTGGCCTGCAGCGAGTCTTCAACCTAAAATGTCAACTACTAATAACTCATCTGGCTCTTCCAAAAGTAACCCGCCAGGATTAAGGAATCTGTACCAAAAGTGGAAGATTTTCAATCTGCTAACAAGGCTCTAGTGAAAAAGATCCGTGTTTCTTTGGAATTTGATCAGAACAAATTCTCTGCTTTCAAAGGAATAACTGGTAAATATCGGCAGGGTTTTATCAGCCCCGAGGAGTATCTTGCCAATGTGCATCAGCTCGGTTTGTCGCATCTTGTTCTAGAGATAGCTAGACTATGCCCCGATGTCGAGAAACAAAGAGAACTTTTGGAGGTATACAATTTTAACATAAACAAAAGTTATTCTCACAATGATGTTGGTCAATGGAAAACAGAATAGGGTCCAAAAAAGGGGAGTAGTGTGAAGACCATGGCATTACTGGTTTAGAACATGCTTTGGCTCACATGTCTTCACTCAGTCAAACTAACTAAGGCAAATCCAAGGTTTTGGGTGATGAAGTGGCCAACTCACATGTCCCCGCACAGTCTCAGACGAAGCTAGTGGGCGGCGGCTCAAACGGAGGGGGAAATAAACAACAGAAAAAACTCCCCAAGTTCCTTAGAAATCTCCGGGTGATGCTTCGGCCGCACAACTTGAAGAAGATACAAAGTGTGAGATTAAAGAAAAAGCAGGTGAAATAAGGAACCACCAGAAAGATTGCCAGTTCGCGGTGTATGGCGAGACGGTGGACGGCAGAGACTTATGGCAAAGACCTAAAGAATAGCTAGCAAATAATATTATACATATGTATGATATATATAGATAGATAGATTTCAGGGCTGATAGATCTGACTCGTGATTGCTTCCCTGGAGTTATTGTTGAACATGGATGTTGGTTATGGTAGGTATGTGTGCATGTAAGTGCTACTTTCGACCACAAAATGAATGAAAACACTTGTTTGGAGATATTGCAAAAACATGTGTCTGAGTGTGTATATGTTTATGTATATGGATATGGATATGGTGCTTCAGGATAAGCAAATTAATATACAAGAAACTTCAACCAATGAAAATGGAACAGTTTTAGTTGAGGTTAAGCAAAGAATATCAAGAAGAGCTAGCCCTATTCCGTACAGCAATCTTACACCAATTTCATACACAACAAACTTATCTCTTCCATCTACAAACTGTACTATTGAAATTACAAAACAAACGATGACAACATTCCCTACTTATCAACAACAGCTATCATGGAGACGAACCCGACATCGGCTTTTTAACACTAAACAAACTTTTAAGAATCCCGCCCTTCATTTCAGCCCTTATATGCATTCGAGTTCAAGGTTGCGTCCGCTTACTCTCTGGCCTTGAAGCTGCACAATCGCTCTTATCGGTATCGGAGTTCTCCCTTTGTGGAACAATTTCCATGCTGTTTCCGTGAGTCCTATGGTGCCTTCGGTCCTGAGTTCAGAAACTTACCGAGGTCATCAAGATGGAAATGCAGGTAAAACCACATTGCACTTCATGCATGTCAGACCATCTATTGTAAGTATGACTAAGTGAATCTGAGTGTTATATGCAATGCCACAAACACTAACCTCTCTTGGTATAGGATACTCCTCGGACTCGAGCATTCGTGCAACTTGACTCATCTTTGGTCTTTTTTCAGAATCCGGATCGACACATCTCAAAGCAGTTAGAAGGGCACGCTTTAGAGCTCTTGTCGATGGTCTAACCTCGATATTTGGGTCTACCACTTCCTCTGACCTCCTGTTTCCAACCATCGTTTTCAGCCAATCTACCAGATTAACCTGTAAACATTAAGATTCCATGTTTAATTAACCTTAAAAATCTCTTAAAAAGACTGCAAAATATATAAACATTAAGATTCCATGTTCGGTAAAAGATCGTTCATCGTATCCGTGATAACAATGTACCTCATGGGTAGGACGGCCATAATCCACGGGATCTCTACCGGTGATTGCTTCCAACAATACAACCCCAAAGCTGTAGACATCACTCTTTTCATTCAAAAGACCTGTATTTGCATATTCAGGAGCCACATATCTGTGTAGTTCCATGAGAGAAAAGTTGTTAACAGATGACTAAAGATCTGAAATATATAAACATCATGGTACACTAGAGAAAATAGATACCCAAATGTTCCCATAACTCGGGTTGTAACATGACTTTTCCCGGCACCTAACAACTTCGCCAGACCGAAATCGGAAACCTTGGAATTGAAGTCATCATCGACCAGAATATTGCTGGACTTTATGTCTCGGTGCACCACCTTTGGTTCAATGGCCTCATGCAAGTAGGCAAGACTGGAGGAAAAACCGTATGTCAAATGAGAACTGGACCGATGACAATGTGTGTAGATATAGTGACTTACGCCTTAGCTGTGCCGAGGAGAATCTTTATGCGAGCCTCCCAAGTAAGATATCCGTGCTGACGCATAGCTCCATGAAGCCATTGTTCCAAGTTTCCATTGTTGACATACTCGTAAACCAACATCCTGCATTTTTAAACAATGTCCCTTTGTTAACAGCAATATGCCAGAAGCTAACGGTGATCCAAATTTAACCAGACAAGAACATAGTAAAAGATGACTATACCTGTGTGTTCCTTCGATACAGTAACCTAAAAGGCGAACCAAATTCTTGTGGCGCACATGCCCGATGGCTTCGACTTCCACTCTAAATTCTTTCTCTGCTTGCCCCCTACAAAGAAGATGACAAGTAGTTTTTTAGCTAAACAAGACTCCGGGTCAGGAAAATAACACCATGTTTAAAGTCTACACACACATATATATATATACTCACAAGTTGTTGAGAATCTTCTTAACAGCCACAGGCGTCCCGTTGATCAAATTGCCCCGATAAACAACACCATATCCACCCTCTCCAATAACATTTTCCTTCGAAAACCGGTTAGTAGCAAGCTCGAGATCCCTCAATGTGAACCAGTGACCCCATCCCAAGTGAGAGAACTCAGGCAGGCCGACTAGAGGAGAAGGAGAAGTGATGTGATAAGAAGAAGACGGTCTATAAACAGACACGGTGCCGGAACTCCCTTCTTCTCCTGATTGAGACCCCACACCATCTTTATCGAAAAGGTGAAATGAACCTGACTGACTACTATTGTCACCACCATTCCTTGATTTTCCCATCCCAAGATGAACCATAACCTTATCTGAGTCTTTGTTACTAGATTTGTCATGAATGGTGAGGAGTATACCGTCACGAGGCACGAAATCGTTCCTCGATACTTGTTCGACCCTCACTTCCTTAATTTCCTTGGATATGGATGGGATTTGGGAAAGGGGAAGCTTATTTCTAGCTCTTGATTTCTTCTTCCGGGAAGTTAAACAAAATGAGAGCAGAGAAAGGATGATTATGATAAACAAAGCAACAACACCACCAACAACCTCCCAGACCTTAAAACCAAAAATGGCAGTCTTCTTGGACAATTCAGCATTTAGATCAGTTGCCATGTCTGGTTTTCCTTATTGTTCTTTCAAATAATCACAAACCTACATACATGATTGAAACAAATTCATCAAAATCTCCATTCTAAATCTTATATTTTACTAAGCATATACCATTTGCAAACAAGCAACCATGGGGCAGAAGCATCAAGCTATGCAAAAAGAAAAAAAGAAAAAAAGGACCTTTTTTAGCGAATAAACAGATCGGACAATTAAAACACAGAACAAAAAAAGCAAGAAAACTATACATAAAACAGAAGATTTTTTTTTTAAAAAAAAAGTAGCAAGTTTCACCTTCCAGCTGTAAAGCTCAGAACTTTGAACAGATAATCTCAGATCTCAGACTAAAAAGCCAAATAATGAAGCTCCAATGTAGCCATTTCCCAGAAATTATATAATTGAAGAAACCCAAATGCACTCCAGAAAATAAAAAAAGTTAAATAGGTAAAAGAGGAGGATTGTTGTTCTGGGTAAATGTGGAAAGATGAATCTAAGCTACAATGGAGCTATCTGGTACCAGAAATGATGATCCTTGTAAATGGCAAAGGCAGAATTGAAAATGAAAGGCTTGAGAATGGATGAAGTAGATGGACATGGAAGTAGGGGTTTTTTGAGAAGGGATGGAATTATCAACGGTAGGTGATGAGTTTACATGCCTTACACCAAAATTAACACGTTTACTAATACCTACTGTAAAACACAAGCAATGAATTTGAGGCAAACATCTTAAAAACAGAGAATTCATGGAGGTTTAAGTTTGTAATTAAATTTAAAATCTAGAATATTTAAGTGCAAGTGTACTTGGTGTTTCTTCTTCTTTTACCTGCATTCATGTTAAGCAGCACATGAAACAGGTTCAGGCAGCCATGTACAGTAGAAAACCATAAATGATGACATTACGGATAGATGAAGGTACTACATCTATATCCACATATGATGCTTAACAAAATATATATATATATATATATGATTATTTTAATGGGAAAATGACGGTGGAAGACGATTAATTTTACATGTAAAAGTAATACAACTAATAGTAGGTTGATGATCACATAGAATCGAATTCATATAATTAAGGTGCCGGCAGCAGGTTCCCTCTCGTGACAACAGATTTCAACTTTACATGTAAAAGTAATACAACTAATAACTACAAAAATCCATTGGAGGAGGGGGAACCATTGGCCAGCTTTCGGGTTTATTGTCTTCATGGATTCACGGTCCACAGGCCTTGAAGCAACACACGATATATTAATGTGACTAGGGATGGACCGAAGATGGGTGAGTGAATGTAGTCATCCTCATCTGAAAATTTTAAATCAATATATATTATATATATATATTTTGTATTTGTAATTGATAATTTATTTTAGTCTAACTATCTTAAATTTGTATAAAACTAAAAGAATTTTACACTCTGTAAGTGGATCATTATCCTATATATATATAATGAGTTTTACACATGTTTAAGACAATTAGATGAGGAATATATATATATATATATATATGTATATTTATATTTATGTAATTCATTTTATTAGGTAAAATAATGATCTAATTGAAAAATAAAATAAAAAATGGTATTATTGCAATAGTTGTCCCTTATTCCCATATGTAATGGGATAATGGAGAGGTAAGATAGTAGGTTGCCCCAACACTAGGTTGAGAACAGCTTCCGTAAGAGACCTCCAAATTATAAAATGTCCTCCATGGGACTCGATCCCACAATCTCAAGGTTAAGAACATTGTGCTCTACCAACTGAGTTGGATGGTAGTATTGCAATAACCCTAAATACATAAAGGAAAATTATAATATTATATCAAGTCGAGTCATATTTTTTTCATCTTAAAATCGAACACAACTCAAACCTAGATTTTTACAATAAAAAGCTAATCTTACTGAGTCAAATAAAATCAAAATTTATCGAATTCGAATAAAATTACCATCCCTAATTATATATGTATATATATGCATGCATGCATATAGTAATGAAATCTAATAATATATATATATATTACAAGCTTTTAAAAGATGTTCCACTATATTTTTATAATATAAAATATCATATATTATAAATCTTCCAAGCTTTTTTTATTTTTCCTAGTCAGATAAAGTGCAGAGAAGGAAAGAGGATAGATTATTCCACATGGGTTGTCTGCTATCCCCACTCACATTACAAGGTCAAATTTCATTATTGGTCCCTGTATTATATATAACTCAGGTATTTAGTTATACTTTATTTTCTTTACCAAATTAAGCTTTAGATTTTACCAAATCAATATTTAGATATAAATCTGAATTAGTTTACCGAATTAAACTAAAAATGTTAACAAATCTATCATAAAACTACAAAATCATATAAAATGAATTCAAATAAAAAAAACTTAAAAATTTGGGTGCAAACACAAATTAATACATTTTTATATATTAACTACAAGGATTAAATTATAATTTAAATAAATTGAAAGGAGTAAAATAAAATTTAACATTTTTAGGGTTACTTATGGCCCATGGCAACACCCTTTAGATTTATTCATGACTAAAATAGATCAAATTAGAGAGTGTGAATAGAATTTCTTGTAATATACTGACAAATAACAAAATTAACGTTGATGTTGACGTGTCATTATTGAAAAATACAAAATATCATGTCATTATTTCTGTTTTTTCTTAATAATGGATAACCAGGATGAAACTAAAATGTAATGTTAGATATGATTTTGAAGAAAAAAATAAGTGACTAAAATGGAACAAAAATGATAGTTGAGATACTAAATGTGTAGTTTACCCTTATATCACTTAATAACTAATCCATTAATTACCAGCCTTTTCTTTTTGTGTTGTCTGCTTTGCATGCTAAGCAAAAACTCTAGTTGGCACTCATTCCATTAATTGCCATGAACGAAATAACTTCTCTCGTTGTCATATATATATATATATATATATATATATATATATATATATATATATATATATATATATATATATATATATATATAATACAATGTAAAATTATTTTAGTTTTACACAGATTTAGGACTGTTGGATGAGTGAAAATAGATGATTGAGATTGACAGTAGAAAATGAGAAGGGATTCACTGGAAAAAAACAAAGAGTCAATCTCAGTCATTTATTTTCACTTATCCAACGGACCTAAATCAGTGTAAAACTAAAGAGTTTTACATTGTGTAAGTGGATTCTAACTATATATATATACTGAGTTTTATACAGGTTTAAAACAGTTTGGATGAGTAAAAAATGGTTGTGATTAACAGTAGAAAATGATAAGATATTCACTAGAAAAAATAACGAGTCAATCTTAACAATCTATTTTCACTTATCCAATAGTCTTAAACCTGTATAAAACTAAAGAGTTTTAGATTGTGTAAGTGAATTCTAACCCATATATATGAGTTAATTGCATCACATATCCTCTAAGTATGATCCTTATTTTAAATTAGTCTCTAAACTTTTAAATGTTTTAATGTAATCTCTAAAGTATGATTATCATTCTAAATTAGTCCATATTTTTTTGAATATTTCAATTTCACCCCCAAACTATAATCTTCATTCTAAATTAGTCCACAAACTTTTATAACATTTTAATTTTATCCCAAACTATACACATATATACTAATCACATCTCTTGTTAGTAAAATCATCAGGCCAAGTTATATGATTATATGTTCGGGAAGAAACAAAATATAGGTTAAAACATGGTTGAAACTAATTACATATTTGGATGAATATGGGGATGAAATTGGAAGATCCAAAAGTTTGAGACCAATTTAGAAAGAAGGTCGTAGTTTAGGGATGAAATTAGAATGTTCAAAAGTTTAAGGACTAATTCAGAATGAGAGTAATAGTTTGAGGATGAAATTGAAATATTTAAAAGTTTAAGGACTAATTTAAAATAAAAGTTATAATTTGGGGACATGTGATACAATTAACTCTCTCTCTCTCTATATATATATATATATGTATTGGATCATATCAAGTGGAAACTTTTAACTCAAAAAATGATTTGAATTTCAAGTCGAGTGACTGATAGAATGGTGTAATACTCGAGTTGAGATTGGGTGGGTCAAAATTCGACCCAACCCTACATATATCTATACAAATATATATGTATATTGTATTGTACTCAAAGACGAACATGAAATTTTATGTCAATGGGACAAAACTTCAGTAAGTTATATTAAAAATTTAGAGGTGTGAAATAATAAGATTCTAGGAGATGTAAAAGTAGACATATTTTAATAAACAAATTTAACCTCAACTCAACTCCAATATAAACACACGAAGTCTTAATGAAAATAACAAAAACGAAAACACCTTATTCCTCTTTAAATTTGATTTTTTTAAAATAATATATCTTATAAAATTAAGACAAATCAAAATTCAAATTCAAAATTTTTCTAAACATATCTTATAAAATATAGAGCCGCCTCAACATATAACATTAGGTAATGGTACATTATTAATAGATGCATATTTGGCCACCCACCACCTTTTTCTCAACTTTAAAACAGAGAGATATATATACGGGATAGATCGAGAGATGTCGGTAATTATCGTATTTTTTAAAAATTTTAAATTTTTATATAATATAAATATATTTTATCAGTAATTTTATATCACACCTCTTAAATCTTAATAATTTTATATTTTCAAAATTTATATTATAATTTTATAAATTTTATCTCCTAAACATAAAATATTGCATCCGTATCGTGGTATACTAAAGAGAATGTGTATACATAGACATGCCATGCTTTAATTTTCACTTTTATTTCGTCAAAGGATAATATGGGCTTTATAGAGATGATATTATCCGAGCCACGTTCGTGGTTCCCAAAAGCATGTGTATATGTCATGACCCAATCCCCAAATCAGACTGCTTTTGTTTTCGGATAAACTACCAGTTTAATATTTCAACTATCAATTTTATGTTATCGTGGACCCTTAATTAATTTTTTTTCAAAATCATACTGAACTTTACGTTTTGGTTTCATTTTGATCACTCATTGTTAAAAAAACAATAGAATTACTGACGTAGCATCTTTCATATTTTCTCATTGGTAACAAGATATTATCTTATGGTAACACATTAGCATCCCCGTTAACTTTTTAACAACAGGTGACCAAAATGAATTCAAAACTAAATGTTATGTATGATTTTGAAAAATATAGTTGAATCACCAAAATAGAACAAAGTAAGGTACTAAATGTGTAATTTACCCTTTATAGTACGATCAACGGCATTCGACAAAGAAGTACAAATTGTGGTTTTGGTTTATTTATTATAATTAAATTTAAAATTTTGTTCTTATAATTTAATTTGGTATCATTTAGTCCTTTTGTTTTATATTCCTATTTAATCCTAATAGTTAATATTATTAATTATTTTGATTAAAATAATTAATAATATTTTGAAGTTTTTTATTATTTTTATTCAACTAAAAATATATTTCATTTATTTATAGTCGGGTTGATCGATATCCACAACCTCTTTATTAGAATATGATCGATTCATTTGCATGCAAATAGTAGGGTGTGTAAATCCGGGTACCCGGTAATCAGGTCAGTGATTTAAATGTTCGAAACTTCGAATTACATACTCCAACATCCGAACATAAAATTTAAAAGTTTGAAATACAAAAATTAATAATCCATAATATAAATAATCCATTATATTATATATATATATATAACTAACCGGGTACTCGGAAAAATTTAATTTTGTGACCTGGGCCTGACCCAAAAAATATCGGGCCGGGTACCCGACCCAATTGGATAATTTTTTTAAAAAAATTACCCGGTACGGGTTGAGTATTTTTACACACCCCTACAAATAAGTATAGAATCATAAATAGACTGATAAAGGACTTGATATCAAATCTTCCATTGATACCAATCCTCAACAAACATTTCCCATGTAAACATATATAAGGACTAAATATTAATTTTAAATACATTAAAAGTACCAAAATATAATTTAACCAAAATAAAAAGGAAGTGGAAAAACCCTACATGTCCAGCCCATTCTTCATGACAAAGTAATATCATTCCTTTTTCCCTTTACATGGAACATGGTCATCATCCCCCTTTAACTTTATATTCCTTTTCTCTCCTCTCCTTTCCTTTATCTCAGCTTTTCTTTATCTCTCCATATATATATAGGATCTTTGTGCCCCTTTGTCTAGTAAAACACCATCACTGTTTAAATCACACTAAACCACACAGTAGGGTCTCTCTCAGAGCCAAAAACCCAGAAATATTAAACCTATCATCGAATTATATGATGGCTAAAGAGGCTTCTACTTGCCTCTTTTCATCCCTTTTGTTTCTTCTTGTTATCTGCTGTTATGGTAATTAAAATGCCCATCTCTTCATTTCATTTCTCTCTTTTACTTTGTTGTAGGTTTTGTTTTGGGGGTTTCGGCTTTCATTCACAAGATTCGAACTCGAGATCTTAGAGATCGAACTCGTAGGAAATTCGTATGTCTATGTTAATATGCATGCATTACTTGATTAATGTCTGCTTTGTTGTTCTTGGTGCAGCTGAAGTAGGGGAAGTTGCTGCTGAGGTTGAAAAATCTTTAGAAAATAGCATTGGGATTGCGAATAAGGTAGCTGAATTATATGTTGAAGCATCAACAATGGTGGATTTTGTTTTTTCTCGTAGAAAACTCCTTATCGTGAAAAGAACATCACAGCATGATGTTATCTTCCCTCCGAATAATCCCACACCGAATATTGTCACTGTGCCCGCCACGAACCCTGCGAACATGTCGGCGCCGATTCCGACTACCACGCCCGTCACGGTACCTTCTATGGATCCGAACAACCCGACTACGGTACCGATAACCAATCCGGTCTCGACACCTGCACCTGCCGCGGTGCCAGGTACCGGTGCTGGGACGCAGCAGCCGGTGACGAATCCGGTAACGACGTATCCCGCACCAACTGGAGGAGTCCCGGTGAGCACACCGGTGACGAATCCTGTCACGACGTATCCCGCCCCGACTGGAGGAGTCCCAGTGAGCACACCAGTGACGAATCCTGTGCCTAATCCTGTGCCCCCTACAACTATTAATGCTCCTGCAGTTCCAGGGCAGAGCTGGTGCATAGCTCGGACCGGAGCTTCCGAGACTATGCTTCAGTCAGCGTTGGATTACGCTTGCGGAACCGGAGGAGCCGATTGCTCGCAGATCCAGCAAGGCGGTAACTGTTATAATCCGAATTCATTGCAAAACCATGCATCTTGTGCTTTCAACAGCTATTACCAGAAAAACCCTGCGCCAACTAGCTGTGATTTTGGTGGGACTGCAACCATAGTGAACACCAATCCAAGTAAGAATGTTTTTTGAGACACTCATCATTTGGAACCTTTGCATATGTAATGATATCTTATATGCTCGTAATAGGCACCGGATCCTGCATTTACCCGTCTTCGGGATCGCAATCGACTCCGACCGCAACACCAGCAACATCAACAACAGGGGCAGGTGTACCAGGGTAAAGAGTTTATTTTGATTACTTTTACGTAGACATTATAAGTACAATATATGCTTAAACTGGTGAAGTGAGCCTGAATGTATATTGCAGCTCGGTCACCCCACCTTCGGTACTAAATTCAAGCACACCTGGCTCAAGCGCTGCTACCACAAGTGTCTTCGGGTCTGATACACCTCCCGGCATCAGCACATCGACATCCATGTCGGTTGGTTTACAACCAACTTTTAGCAGAATCATTCTACTGACAATGACATCTTTTGTTGCTCGATTAATCTAGGAATCAAGCACCTTGCTATAGACCGGTCAGATTATCATGCTTCAATCTGGAGTTCCCAAATGACTACTTCATAGCAGCCTAGTCATGTCGATGACGTTCATCGCCCCGATAAGCCGCTCAAGATGTAGAGATGGTGTATTCATGATGTTCCAAAATGACTGCATAGTAGCCAAGTAGTTTAAAGTTTCTTATACAAGAAATTTAAGTGTGAGATTAGGCATAGGTAATCTTGTATATCTTTTATCAGTTAGTGAAGTTCATAGGTTTGAGAAGGACCCTTTTGTCATTAGTTGTACCTACAAGCATAGCTCCGTAACCATCATGCTGATCGAGTTGGGTGATTTCGAGTTTTAAAATTCTTTTGTCATTTCGAGTTTTAAAATTCTTTTGTCATTTCGAGTTCAGGGTCATTTTCGGTTCGGATTTGTTGAACCAGTTTCGCATGTTTCGAGTAAATATGAGATTCAAGTCTCAGCCAACTGCAACAACAGAACATGCATCCTGAAAAGATATCATAAGGGTCTATATACAAAGTCCCGAAGGGAAATTATAGCACACTCCATTGTTGTTTTGCAATGGAGATTTGGGAAATAGTCCTAAGGAATATATGTGGGAACCACTTAATAGGCATTGGATTCCATTCTCGTCAAATTTCTTGAAAAAAGCAATGCAGCAAACTGTTTCCACAGCAAACCTTTTGACTGAAGGGAATTAAGATCACATTCATAACAATAACAATAATGCACGTTACTGTTATTTTACCGACATGTATACTACATCTTTCATGTCTGTTCTACGATCCATGATCGAATGTAATACCGTAATCTCCGGTTTTAGTTTTATTGCTTTTCAGATCTCTATAACTTAATAATTATATCCTAATTCTTATTATTATTTCTATTTAGATTCTAAAGTTTCATCCCGGTACTGTCCCGGTCAATCACAAAATGGTTCGATATCATTTATCACGACGTTATCATTTTTTCAAAAGGTATGTAAAAGGGAATGCTGTTCTCATTAGAGGGCATGAGTTCGAACAACTACGTCCGTAAGATATGTATGCGTTGTCAATTGATGGTGAAAGAAGGAATTGTACCCACAGTTGCTACTTTGAACTCTTTGTTGGAGGTTTTGTTTGAGACCAATAGGATTGAATCAGTCCAAATATTAAGACCTTTGAGATTATTACAAAAGGTTTTGTTTTGAATGGCAGAGTTGATGATGCAGCGCTCATTTTGCATGAAATGTTCGAGCAGCGGTATCAGCCCTATTTAGGTTTCTATACCTGCATTATCCCTTTGTTTTGCCAAGAGAGCAGACTAGAAGAGGGAATTGAGCTATATAGGCAGATGAGAGCAGCAGATTTGGTGCCAAATTCAGTAATCTGCAGTAAATATGTTCATTGTTTATGTATGAACCTTCATCTAGATGATGCAACTTACATGAAGAGATGATAGAAATAATTGAGATTCCGGTACTTCCTGCTCTACTTTGATTTGCTTTGAAAGTGCTAAAGATCTTTTGCTAATGCTTTACCAAATGGTGATAGGGCATTGCAGAGTTGATGCAGAAGCATACTGTATCCTGATATGAAGTGTGTGCACTGAACAGATTTAATGATTGTGCTTTACTTTGCTAGTTAATGATTACTGAGGGTCTCGTGCCTGATTTATAAACAGTTTGTGACCTTTTCTCTTTAACAAGTCATTGTCAGTTACATATAGTGTCGAATGAATATCGATAAAAATATTTGTAGAATGGAAATTCTGGATTCAACCATGTTTAGTATGCTGATTAGTTGCCTATGGAAAGAAGGTTACAGAATGAGGCTCAAAATTTGTAAGATTTGATGTTGGAAAGGGGTTGGATCCCAGATTCTGCAACTCATACGTTGATCATTGAATCCAATGTCAAAGGGGTAACAAGTAGGGGAATGCCAACATATGGAAATTCAATGGATGAAGACAATGTCAGCACCATTCTTGCCGAGGCATTGGGGAAATGATGAAAAGAGTATCCACCTCAATGGTGGTAGATACTGTACTCCAAACTGTAAAATTGCAGGTCATGCCTTCGTCTCTCGCCTGATGGATTATAAAACTCATGACATAGATCTTTCTTCAATGGCATTTGTCCAATCTCGAAAGCTGAACCGATACCAGCTTCTGGAACCTTGTTTCATCTCCGGTGAATTATAAGCTACTGTGTTTACAGATCGCATTGATTGGCTCTATTCCCACCGGAGCTGGATGGAAGTTCTTTTGAGTTCCTCTTCTCTCTCAAAGTTATGCGGATAAGATTTGCAGTGGTAGAAGACTGCGAACGGAGCTGACTGCAGGGCCGGGACTGCACTAAGTATGTTCACAATAGACCCAGAAAGCACTTGAGCACGACCAACTTTGTAATGTATAGTTGCAACTTCATAAATGGAATGAATCGAGTAACAATCTGCTCTAAAGCATACTCCTTTTATATATGAAACTACCAATACCAAAATCTAAATTGTTCTCTATATATAACAACTATCCAACAATCTTCCAACAAGCTTTGGCCAAATGGAAAAGCAACACATTCACAACTTACCATGTTAAAATGGAGCAGAAAACCTAAACAATCTCCCTATGATTATACAGCAACAGAATTTAATCTCCCTATGATTATACAGAAACAAAATTTAATCTAAGTCGATGGAAATCTATTATTTCCATCAACAAGGATACAAATAGCTAAAGTCTAAATAACCATTGTTTTCCTACTAGTCATTAGCATGTTCATTTAATCATAACCTTTAACAAGAGACCAAGTGGAGCTAGAAACAGAATTGCACCTAATAGAAGTATTTGACATTGAAGAACTTCCATAAGATTCATCAGGCAACTAGTATCATCCTTTTGTGATCCCTATCAAACACAAAAGTTAGAGGACTAGTTAGTCCAAAGGAAACAGCAACAGAACTTGACAAAAGTGATAAAGCTAAAAGCTAAACTTTCAGTAACATATGCTAACAGCATCCGCAGAATTTGGTTATCTCATCAAAGATAACCATATCAGATGACAGACAGCAGTTTGATAAAAGAAATATGCTTTCTGCATGAAACATGCAGTGGAATAATGTCTTGCCACTATATTTTGATGTGTTCAAAGGGATAAGTGGTGCTATATTCAAGTGACAAGAGGCTGATACATACCGTGTTGAACATTCTACAAGAGCTCTTTGCAAGTGGACTTGTTGTGTCCTAGCCCCTTGCATCTACTGCACTGGAGTTGGCGCTTCATTACCTCTTGTGATCTAACTTTCTTTGTGGTAGGTCGACCTGGTGGACGGCCTGTTGGAGGAGGAGTTACAGTCACTAGAGCTAATGAAGAATCCTTCTTCAGAGGCCTCTCGACATCTGGAATAGGTTGTATAGACTCTGCATAGGTTAACCTGTAGCTCTCGGTTGTAAAGTATCTGGAGCATCATATGGGTTTCGTCCAATACAAGTGATAACAGCAACAGCATGACAGCATGGTAAAGCAGAAAGTTGTCAACCTTTACAACTGCAATCCCAATGATCCATGTCAACAATTTCAGTGGACTCGCCACGAACCTCAAATATGCTACCAGTAGTCAGAAGCACTTGAAGCGTACGTACTTTTTCCAATCTGTCCTCCATGCATGGAGTCAGCCTTGTTAACCACTGGTCAGAAGTAGCCCTGCGGGTATAAATTAACTCCATAATCTTTTTCCGTATGACATCAACCATATCTGAGTGATGGGTAATTCGTGTGCATCTGATACCCAACTATAAAAGAGTTCCCCAAAGTTTGATGTCATATGGTTATATCTAGCACCTTGAAAGTATGCATTTGCCCAGTTTTGGGGCTCACTTTGTATTACCCAATTGTAAGCTTCCAGTGAAATTTTTTTAATGCTTTCAAGGTAACTCTGGAAGAGTTCAGGTCTAGGTGCCAAAGCAGCATTATGAAGGTCATCAATCATGTGCCGTTTCATCTCATGGGAAAAATGCCCTTTCAAGTCTCTAATGAGCAGCTGTGTTAAGTAGTGGAGACAATAACCATGATATGAACCCTTGAAAATTTCAGATATCGACTCCCGTAAACCCTTCTGTATATCTGCGAAAAATGATATAGGGCAAGATGTTGACAAGGCAGATTTCAGTTGTAGCAAAAACCAATACCAGTTTTCATCGTTTTCAGCATCTATGACGGAGAAGGCAACAGGAAATACACCATCGTCCCCATCAGCAGCAGTTGCAGCCAACAAGGTATCTTGATACTTGGAATTCAAGGGTATGCTATCAAGAAAAAGGAGAGGTCTGCAACCTTGTAGAAAGCCGCACAAAGAAGCATGGAATGCGATAAAGTGGCGATGAAAACTAGAGTCTTCCTTAGTGGAGTATGTAGCAAGACTGCCTGGATTGGTCTCCATTATCCTGTCGCAGAAAAGTGGTAACAGATTGTATGCATTCTTATATGAACCCTGAAGCTGCTCTCTGGCAATTTCTTTTCCACGCCAAGCCTGATAGTAGTTCAGTTGTATCCCAAATTCCTGTTTTATGTCGGTTACAATATCCTTGGGTTTGTAATGTGGAAAAGCTTTCAACCTCTCCTTGATTATACTAGCTACCCATCTCCTAGTTGCTTGATGCACAGTGGTCAAAGCAGACCCTTCACAAGTATTTGTTGGATTCATCTTCTTGATACATATCAACTAAGTGATTGATAACCTTGATGCATGAATCCTCCAAGGACAGCTCTCTGCTTTGCACTTAACAGTTAGACGATGGCTATCGTTCTTTTTATACCTAATTGCAAATTGATGTGCAATGGCATATTTTCGTAATGTCTCACGAAATTCCTGAACACCAGTGAATCTTTGCCCTACCCCTGTAATTGTATTCTGCCACTGTTGGGCGCTTTTAGAAAGTGGAAGAATAGATGAAATCTCAGTCGACATATCAATGGGTACATCAATATGGTGGTTGTTGGCATCAACAATATCAAAAGAGGATGCAAGAGGTGTATCAAGTGGATCCACTGCTTCAGACAAAGTTGTCCTACTTGACATGTAAAAAAAAATTCTCAGCACTGAGTTAATATATCAAGAAATTGCAACTAAGCCTTTAGCTTACAAGTAAAGAAAACTACCTAGTGGCTTGCATGTTAGAAACATCATGAGCAGCTTTTTCCTCCTCCATTATGATAAACATATCAACAGTAGCATAATTCCCATGAAACTTTATCATCCGCTTTAAATCCTTCTCATTGGAGACAGTGATGAGAGTCTTTTTATTACCTGGAAGGAAGTACTTTATAGACATAG